TTCAAACCAAAAATGCTTGATTCTGGCAGTAAGCTGAGCTTCGGATTTAAAAATCGAAATTTTATCAATCTGGCACGTTAGGATTTTATTTAAACATGGTGCAATATCAGTATTTATATTAGAAAAGGTATTGATAATCGTTTTAAATCCCTGATCTTTCGTCGAACTTTCATCCAACAACGATTGAATATATGTGGCTATATAGTCATGATGTTGTTCATGGAAGTAAACATTTTCCCAACATCCAACTTCTTTAATATCGACAGATAATCCAGAATTTCTTGATCTTATGATACCATCTGCGGATGCGATGTTTATAAGCATTTCTTTGCATTTAAAGAGTAATTTCTCACCTACCAAATCGGTAGTTGTACAATTGTGAATAACCAAGCTCTGCAACGTTTCTTCGGGATCGAACCCAACGAATGTGTCACGTTCTTTGAATTCGGATTCTGCGAAATTACCCTTTTTAACAAAAGTTGATATCTGTTTACACCAAGTTGATAACTCATTGACAATTCTTTTCATGCTATCATCCAAGCTATCATTGATTGACATTTTTTGTTTTTCAAACCGATTAAGGAGCGGCGGATCAGCGAAATCCACTTTCTTCTCATCAAGCACCAGGATACACCTAAAATTCTCGTGTACGCAAACCATCGGATTCGAATGGGCCCCTAACGCGACCCGTGTATAAAACTTTTGATTATCCTCTCTGCCCACAGTAATGTAATTTTGGTTCCACAAATCATAAAGGCTCCCTAAACCAGAAAACCGTATGATAGTTCATTAAATAAACATCTGGATTGTTTGAACTGGGCATGAAACAATTTTATAATTACCATAGATAATTTCGAGATCAGTTAAGATTAGAGGTCTACCGGCTTCAACACACATCTAAAAATAGCAATGAAACATGTACTGTATGTATATATAAATAAACAGAAAATAATAAGTTTGCTAAAAAAGTTACCATGATTTTACTTAAAACACCATATTGGTAATCATCGTCAAAATCATTAGGAAACTGGCTACCGTGAATGATGACAGGTTCCATATCCCAAGCAGATCTCCCAACATTTTTGGAACCCCGCTTGTTCGATAGCTCTTTGCTCCAATGCCGAAGCTTGTATGTTAAGAGATTAACGATGGAATCACTTTTTCCAATGATCATAAGATGTCTTGCTCCATTATCTTCTAAATTCGCTTTGATGAGTTCTTCCGCCGAAAAATCCATGAGTTTTTCTTTCGTTCCATGAAAAGCCGTGATAACGGAGCTGAATTGCTTTTTGCATACTTGATCCGCATCATTCGTCCCACCAAAATTCCTTGCCAACGCCATTTGTGTGGATACCGGATTATTCTTTATAAAATTACAGAATTTCAGGTTAGCAAACCCCAAATATTAAAATAACCGTTTGGGCATAATTAAAAGTAGAATGATATTACTTTTCTAGAACTCAGACTTTTAACAAGGGAATAATAATCACGAAGACCATGAAAGTTTTTTATCGGCTGTCCTTTTTCGTATTTCAAATAAG